CAATTTAGGATGGCAAACAAGCTGACGGCCCACCTAATGGAAAGTGGTAACCGTCGCCTATAGACATGAGCAGTACCATGGACATAACAGAGTATACTGTTTCGTCCATAATACCCTCCATGCGTTGCCTTTCCAGAGACTTAGTTGTTATTCCTCTGTACCCTGTAAATTCACGCCATATCCCACCCTTCAAACCGAAACACAGTCATGCAAACACAACTGCTTCACGGTTGAAACACGAATGGGACAGATAAGATGTGGATAATTATATATCTATATATATATATATATATATATATATATATATATATATATATATATATATATATATATATATATATATATATATATATATATATATATATATATATATATATATATACCTTTGTATAAGTCAAGTACTTGCGCATGTGCTTTGTAGTACGTGTAGCATGCAATTTAGGGAGTTTTATTGTGATTGCACTATTTACTTCAAGTACTATGTCTCGTCTAACTTAAAACAGCAGTTGAACACTGAGAATGCTATTAGATTGCACGTAAAATGTAATTAACAGGATTATACTTAGTGGATTTAATTTATGGCCACCATATTTTATACTAGCTATTCCCGTGGCATTGCACGCTTCTATGTAGTTGCCGGATATCGTTCCCATTGGTACTCTCCATAAATCCGGTCTTATATTGTATTATGTACTTAAACAATAATTATATATCTGAAACCTTCATAAAGTTTCAGCCAATTCAACTGATCAATTCTGATAAGTTATTTTATAATATTTTATACGTGATTCTTTAGATTTGTATAATTTTTTTACTTATGAACCGATTGAAATACAACACACTGAATGTTAAATGGAGTAAATCGCGACTCATGAATGAAAACCTTATTTAAATCTGTAAGCTCTTTTTGAAATTAGCGTACAAACGTACAGACAAAAATTCTTAAAATCATTATTTTAGGTTCTATTGCGTTCATAAAGCCCCCTGTAATAGCTTTTCTTACATAACTTCCATGTACAGACAGCGACCAGTTACGATTTTATTATATGTATTGATTGTCGTAATGTAATGTATTTCTAAAATAAAGAATAATCTAAAGATAGGTATTTTACAAAAAAAAAAAATCTATTCGTTTAGGTTTCACGTTTCGCAAATGATTCAGATGTGCTTACATGCATTGTATAATGTACATACATACATATACCTAATAAACATTATTGAAGTAATAGGAGAATAACAAATATTCAGTCTCAAGAAACTTTGAATTTTTATATTCTACAAACATTTTTAAGACTAGTGTCTTAAAAAGTCATATATTCAGGTGTTTTATCTTGTCAACTTAGTGCAGTTGAGAGCATATTTGTATGCAGCAATGCACTCCGTTTCCCAAACTTACTACGATGGTTTACATTTATGCTGAGAGTCAGTTTGATAACTTTTTTCTACAACATAGTTTAAAATAGTAGAAAGAATGACAAACGGTGTATATAGACATAAACAGTACTATGGACAGCAGGCAGCATGGTAAATATTTTTGTTAGAAGAATAATGATTAATATCACGCCAATAAACGCTTCGTATTTTAGGAAATATAAATTTTGAACGAATTGTAATAATCATGACCGTGGTATCCCTAGGGACTTAGATTATATAGATAGTAGCGAGTGTAAAAAACGGGTCAACTTTTTATCAGTCAATTGTCAAATTTGCTCACATTTCTTTTAAATCAAAACATACGTACTTATTACTTATCTAATTACTTGCCTGTGTTGCAAGTAATTAGATTAAAATTTAGTAGACTTTTAAATTAGAATTGGAAACTGTTTTTATGAGACGATGTAAATATACAAATGTATATATTGCTTACAAATTAATATATATGTATTAAATAAAATATCACCTGTTTTAAATTATATAAAAACAAAAACATATTTTATGTCTTTATTCAGATGTAATTCAAAATATTTAGTAACTGTAAGTGAAATATTAATGATTAGAAATAACTATGGATTGTTTATCTGGTTATTGCCAATATATTTTGTATCGTTCTTATTTTTCAATTGAATCTTACAATATATTTTCTTCTATATACTCAGTAATAAATATATGTCCATTATGGTAACCCTATTCATGCAACATGGCATTTGAGCGAAGCATTTGTCTCTCAAGACACTCTATCTATATAATCTAAGCTCAAGCATTACCCTTTCTTAGAATTAAGGTGTTATGTCTTCACACCTTATAATTTCCTGTCGAATCCTTCCCTCTGAAATCAAAGACAATATTATTTCGTTTGTATTGAAATACATCCATACTCATGTAGCTAATAGTGGTTGAAACACGACAGTAGAACGTGGTAGAAGTATTCCTGCAGATAATTTTTGTACAAATTCTCTTACAAAACAACAATAATAGAATAGCAAACATTGTAATCTATCAGGTCTTTTTGACCAGAGGGAGACTTTGCACAAAAGTCGATTGCTTGGGTACCTCTGTCCCATTCGTGTTTCAACCGTGAAGTAGTTGTGTTTGCATGACTGTGTTTCGGTTTGAAGGGTGGAATATGGCGTGCATTTACTGGGTACAGAGGGATAACACCTGAGTCCTCAGGAATGGTAACGCATGGGGATACCCCCCATGCGTTGCTATGGCGAAACAGTATACTCTGTTATGTCCATGGTACTGCTAATGTCTATAGGCGACGGTTACCACTTTCCATCAGGTGGAACGTCAGCTTGTTTGCCATTCTAAGTTGTATAAAAAAAAGGTCGACACCAAAAACTTTATAACTTTCAAAATATAACAAAACAAATTACTTACAGTACCTGTTTTTGTTCAGTAGAGGTAGAATCGAAAGATGTCTCTGACAGACCTATTAGAGATTATAGTCATTAGCATATTTCATTTTTATTTTATCCTAGCTTTTATACGCGACTTCGTCCGAGTAAACCTTTTCCATTCCATATATATTATCCGTTTATATAAAATTTTATAGTAAGCAATTAAGCTATTAAGGCACCACAATGGAACGAACAAACAAACTCACTTTAGCATTTATAATTTTAGTAAGGATTTCATTTGGTTGATTATATTGCCTAATACAAAATTATGAAGCGTAATAAGTACCAAGAGCTCCGACAAAAGCGAGGCTCTTAAATACTGAATGAATAAAATCAAGACTCCACGTAGTGTTTTACAAAGCTAAAATAGAATTCAGCATTAACACAAGAAGGACTTCTCGTGAGATAATTTAATATTACTAAAGAACACTATTGATACTTACCTCAGTTAAAAGACTAGTAACGATATTACAAAATTATTAAATTTTTATGAGACATTTGATTTTAGAAAAAAAATTGTACTTTAACATTTTGTGTCACAACAAACTGCTAATTAAATGATGATTAAATAATATGGAGAAAGAAATATTATCACAGTGCGGTCAGCTTCCTGAGTATCCTTTCAGTCGACAATGATCTCAAGGAGATTTCTATCTGTATAAAAAAAAATTAATATATAATATTATCAAAATTATTTCACACTTATTAAAATTGAACAGTAACATGTCGCGAAATACAAAGTTTTTTTTAAATTCAAACAATACTATCATACAAATTCTGTATATATATATATATATATATATATATATATATATATATATATATATATATATATATATATATATAATTCTATACATTTCAGCTCACTGACACAATTTTTATGTATTCAAATGACCCCTATTGTATTGTCTAATTATAAAAATATTCAGTCGAATTGCTTTTTTATACTGCCGAAACCAAGGTCGTTTATTTAAGCGACCGCGCAATTTTGTGCATTGATAAACAAATTAACATATAAATTATCTTTGCCTTTCTATTTGCATTACAAAGAGTCATAGGAAAGTGCGGCATGCCATACATGGGTTAGACAGCACAATAAATAAGGGTTACAGAGGGTCACACCGCGGTCTTGATGCATTCACTGCGGAACATTCCGTAATTAACCGGGTTAGCTCATTTACATAGATTTTCTTTTTATATAATCCTTATCACGCTTAGACTCTTACATACATAATCTCATTTTACCTTCTTGTCTTTTTAAACTTAATTTAAAATCATAAATTAAAAGTTAAGGAGTTCTAATTAAGAATTTAGGTTAGTTACACCCACTGGCGGCGTTCTTGTATCATCTGTTATTAAATTTTAATCTTATTTAACACAATACCTGCAATGTTACAGGATTTGTGTGATAGTATTGTTTAAATAAAAAAAAATAACACTGTTACAGTTTGGTATGAAGAGATTATTACACTATTAAGAAATTCTTTGTTAGATATCTTTATATGATACTTTACATAGACTACCTTCATCAGGATTTTTTTTCTTTATATACTTACATCATTTCAGCTATTTGCCAATAAGAAGTTTGTTTTTAAATAATTAATTATTATATCCTAACTTAGGTTTAACAAATTGGTCATAGATGAAAAATAAATAATACAAATGAGTTTTTGTATATTTAGAGTATTCGAAAAACAAAACACATCGCTCGTCATCGATAAGCAATTTATCCTCATACGTGAGAATCTAAATGGTCGCATACAGTGTGCTATCAGAGAAGTTTCCTCTTACAAACGAAGGCTGTGGAATGAGTTCCTTGCTTTGAGGAGTTTTATAGATACTACACTATAGGGTTCTTCAAAGAGGATGTATTAAGGTTTCTTTGGAATCAGAAATGCACTCGTGATATTCTTGTTTACCACCATGCGGGCTATATGCTTGTTTGACAAAAAAAGTAAGACAGCTTGTGAATGCAAGAAAAATTGGAAAATGCTGATTTTCAGAGAACAGTCCGTAATTTTGTATATACACAAAGTACCTAATTCCTCAATTTTACCTTAATTTGTCAGTAATCGATAAAGCTCATAGTATCTTTATAATTTCTTCTTCTTTTGCATTTCTATATTATTTGAACAGGTGATTGTAATAAAAATACACAGGTATTTATAAATGGTTCGTTTATTGATATTTTTATTATGTACAATTATTATTATATACGTAGCAATAAGTAGATTACCTACTTAAATTACATTGTAATAAAATTACCAGCAATATTTACATAACATTCCCTAAAACTAAATAACGCTTACAACAACACAATTCAGCGGCTTCATATTGCGGAAGTATTCAAATCCGTTCAAAACAAAGCACTAATAATATAAAATATTTAACAATATTTTACGCCTGTTTAAATATGGCAACACTAGATCTTAGAGAAACTAAAAAAAATCTTAATTGGATGTTTTAAAACAATATAAAACAGTAGATAAATTGATTATAAATTAATTATCTGTACAAATAAAGAACGGATTTTTACACATGAATTTGGATATAACTTATCCAATGTTTAAATCCAAAATACGATTTGTCTATGTACCAATTTTCTCTGAACTATATTTAGGTGTATTGAGTAATAGATATCCAAGTATCTTTACAAATTCTCATATTTATAAATACTAATAAATAAAAATCATTGAATATCAGAACCAGTAACTGTTACTAACAGTTAGTAACTGTAGAGTCACTTATAATTAAAATGAAATGGAAAAAAAACTTGCTTTGCTATCAACATATCTGCATTATCTTTTAATGTAATAATAAAATATTAAATAATAACATTTTATACGATATGAAAGTTAATAGTTTACTTCACATGTGTTTTCAATACATACATATATAAGTTAACAATATAACTAATCAACATACTAAAAAAAATAGGCCGACATAGTGCTTCATTACTTTAAATTTCTTATGATAATTAAGCAATATTAAAATAAAGGTAGGTATAACATAGTTAAGTAGAGTAAGAGAGACCTTATTATCTAAATATTCTTAATCAATCTTCGATTTTCTGTTACGAGTATTAGCAATCTTATTAGGTAAAATAATACATTATTTAATATTTACAATGGATGCTCATTCTATACATTTTTGATATGCTTTGGTATGTTTTAATTGAACAATATATTATTTCGAGTTTCAAATAAGAAGCTGAAGCTGAAGTATTTAACATGTTATGATTAAATTGTAAAGATGCGCCGAGTCTTAAAAGACAAAAGTAGTTTTTTTTACAAACATCTACATAGTTAAATCGAAATTACAGATATATTTTAAAGGAGTGTTATAACGATGAAACTGAATATTTTTATCCAAAGTTCATTAAAATTTAATAAACTTTGACTATGAAAACGCAAAATTTACTGCTCTCGATTACTGAAAGATTAAAAACGGCGAAAATTTTTATTTTTTTGTTTTCAATGTTTGTTTATTTAAAATACTCTGTCACCGACAGAAAATCCAGGAAAATTAATTCCAGAGAATAATTTTGATTTAACCCTGTGATGCATTTCATAATAATTTTCCTTTCTTAAGAAAAAGCGTAAGATAAAGAGAAAAAAAAAACGTTGTGAACTTATGTTCAAAAACAGAAAATATTTATATGTTTTCTGTCTTTTCTTGTCTTCGGTGGTGTAGATAACACCATATGATATAAATTCTGCCTTTTACATTATTTTAAAATTCAATAGATAAATAAATATAATAGTCGAGCTTTCTCGATCTAAATACATGTAAGTTAACATCAAAATAAATATAATTTGATAACTAATAAATAATTTCAGAAAATTTGTGACATATGCTTTTTCTTGTTGGTAGGTAGAATTATAAGTTTATTGTCACATCTTTTGTCGTTAGAGAGCTCTTCTTCATACCTTAAGACTTTATAGTCGCTTACAGATATAAAAAAATATCAAAGTATGTTAAAATATTTATGTACATTTTATATTAAAAATCATTAAAAGTTATGCACAAAAGAAATAAAATGTTTTAAAAACAATGAAAAAAAATGTAAATGTTCAACTAAATCACCAGTAAAATATTACCTGACGTAGAAAATAAAACACGAGTGGCGCGGTTATAGACTTTAAGCCATGATACATAAATGTTACCATTGCGTTAATGAATTCTAAAAAGCTTTTTGCCATTTCTATTTCAATTCATTGTATCCTTTTCCAAAAATGACAACTCTTTTTTTTTAAATAATGTATGCATTTATTAAACAAAAGAAAAAGTAACTTTGGTTTCGTAAATTCATTATTATTATTTCAGTTTAAGTGGATATTGAAACTGAGGTAGATACAGCTGGACTTTAGGCTCTTGCAGACTTGCATATCTGTCTACGCTCTAGACAAGTGGCAAACTAATCTATTGGTAGATTTTAGTTACTGTGCGAGAAAGAACGAGACGCCGGATTTCACCATCTTGTTTCATCTCATATATGCCGCAGAAATATAGCTATCGATAGTTTAGTTTTCTATTTGTCTAAAGAATCTGAGCTACCTGAATATGTCGACTAAAGGCAATATATTTTACGTTGTCATCCCATTTTCTTCAGAGATTTCTCTACATTATAGCTTTACGCTTTTACAGAAAAAGTATTAATAAAGCTATTATATGCACTTCTTTATAAATAAGATTTCATAGATTCGACGGTAGAAATTAATAGGTATATTTTCTTCATAAATATAAAATAAATTATGGGCTTAATCAGTTCTTGTGTTTATAACACAATAAGTGTATAAAATTAATATAAATACACTAAGACCAAAATATACATATTGCTAAGTGATACATCTATCGATGATATTTTACGATTTTATATTTTATTTTACCATATACAAATAGGTATGTTATCATGATGTTATTATATCAAATGAAATAAAAATATCATCTTAAACTATATTTCTTTTAACGCTTTTTATGTTGCTATGCTATCACAATCCTCAAACTTAATATAGATACATATTTTACTACACATAAGTACAAATAGACGAATTTAAATTACCTTTATACATATTTTTCATTTACACGCTCATAAATGGACTATAATTATAGCATTCGATGAAAATCAATTGCGGTGACTTATAAAACTTATCATATTTAAAAATATAACTTATCATCTTCTACTCTGTGCTAGTAATTCAGTAATATGTGAATTTCGATGAATAATTATGTGTGAATAATAATCGATAAAACTACAGAGTATAATTTTTTTTATTACATATGGCAATAATGAAATGGCTACAAGAGTAGAGAATGGCAAAATTTGGTGTTTGCTTGATGCTGTCGATTCAGCAGTTGGTAACCAGTGATTGTCGAGGACAGACTGCTCTATGACGTTTTGCATTGTATCTGTTAAAGAGAGTACAGTAATAGTGATTAATTGAGAAACCGTGTACCATAAGATTGGCAATATTCATTGGGTACAATAAAAAATAAAAAATAAATATAATATATCAGTAATTATTCTTACTTATTTATTTATTTTTATTATAAAAAAAACTTATTTATAAGTATCACAAGTTTTGTAATTAAATAAAAAATAACCTTTGAAATAAAAAGGTAATGTAATAAGTTTATTATTGTCACTCAGAGAGGTGAAAAAGTAATCGGCTGTTGCTTAATAACGAATCATTACTAAGAATGCTTTCTTTTTTGATTGTTCAGCTGTATTTAAAATAGCATTGTAATAGTCATTGTTAACATCATATCAATCATTAATTATTTTTAATTACTGCACAACACTGTAATAATGTTTAGGTTTTTTTTTTTAAACGAATCGTTAAAATTATTTATACTACAATCCTGTAAAATCTGATGGCAATTGTTATGGAAATTGAATATATTACGTTTTTACTTACCATATGTTGTTACGTCTGGTGTATAGAATTTCTGCTCTGCAGGCTGCAATGGAACTACGAACCCTATAAAATGAATTAACATTGAAAATTTACACTTTATATAATTTATAAGTTAAATAACAATATTTATTATATAACAACATGTCTATAACTTACGTAAAAATATATTATCATGAAATATGACGTATATAAGCTAATGTAACAAATAAACCAGATTTTGTTTAGATAATAGTTTTTTTGTTTATTTCTCGCTGAAATTATATTCTGAATTCGATAGTTTATTCGAAAAAAAAGACTTTTCAAAAATGCTTATACATATAATTAAGTTTATTTGAATATATATTTTTTAATTTTTTTACAACAGTCAATGTACACGCCCAGTGCTTTTCTAACGATCTTCATTTTAGGTTCATATTCGCATAGTATTTGACTGATTTATAATGATTATTTTTTGTATCTACAAAGCAGATGAGCATGTGAAATATGCACGTAGACTGTAATAAAAAAAAGTATTGTTTTGAATTATTATTTTTTTATATTACCTTCTTTTCAGAATAGCATCTTTATCGATTTTGAGATGTAAATTTGTTTATTGGATAATGAAGCAACGTTTGCTAAAATATGTGCAATTTTTTTTTATACAACTTAGAATGGCAAACAAGCTGACGGTCCACCTGATGAAAAGTGATAACCGTCGCCTATAGACATGAGCAGTACCATGGACATAGCAGAGTATACTGTTTCGCCCATGATACCCCCCATGCGTTACCATTCCTGAGGACTCATGTGTTATTCCTCTGTACCCAGTAAATTCACGCCATATCCCATCCTTCAAACTGGAATACAGCCATGCAAACACAACTGCTTCACGGTTGAAACACGAATGGGACAGAGGTACCCGAGCAATCGACTTTTGTACAAAGTCTCCCTCTGATAATTGTTTGTAATAAATTATTTTTACTTGTTACATTATCTATATACTCACGTGGTGGTGGAGTATATTCCGTGGTAGTTGGTGGTGGGGTCGTAGTGGTAGTGGTGGTGGTTGTAGTAGTCGTGGTCGTCGTAGTCGTCGTCGTCGTTGTTGTTATTTTAATTTCTGTTATATTTAAAAAAAAGAATCTTAAATGTCACTTCATTAAAAAAAAAGTTATAATCGGAAATTAATAATTCAGCCTCATATTATTAGACTACTTTGAGATATTTTTATATTGGTACTCAATAATTTAATGTAGAAAAAAAATACTATAATTTAATAACTAGCGATCCACCCTGGCTTCACACTGATTCTTGTAAGTCGAATATAGACTTACAGTCTACATTTATTCGCTGATTATATTAAAAAACGGTTAAGTAGGTTTTAAGTTTATCCATTATAAGTAAACGCATAAGAAGTCTTTCCTCTTTAGAATCAAGTCTATGATACTGATTACGTTAATAGCATATGCATTAATAATATGATTTACAAAAATAAAAACTGATTTTAATCACAATAAAATTATTTGGTCTCAGTTATGACTAATTCCTATGGATTGCAAAAAGAATCAAATCCGGTTCAGAATTGATAAAACATGTGTAATATAAAAATGTAAAAAAAATTGTCGGAAAGAGAATCTCCGTTATTACTTTTTTACTAGGTGCAATAAAGTGTAAATAAATAAATAAATAAAATAAAAATATTTTTTGAAGTTGAAAATTATTAGCTTACCATAAAGTCGAATAGTTCCTTCAGATTTCCCCATGGTATTTGTAGAGACACATGTGTATGTTCCAATATCATCGCTTCTAAAATCTGATATGGTTAATATTAGTCGAATTTGATAAACAGATGTTCGTATCTCAGATATCTCATGTATCTCGCTGGAACAAAAGAAAAATAGGTAAACTTAACATTTGAAGTGACTGAGGAAATTCTATACCTCACTTGGGGATAAACGGTGTCGTGAAGGCATGAATTTTTGTTGCTGTTGATATACAAAAAGAATACATAAAGCGACGAGACATGAGGCAAGAAAAATGATACCCCTGCAGCGAACAGATTGTGGCTACAAATAAGAATCTCGCGGAAGATTTTTATTTTTTATATTTACATAAAAAAATTAAGAATGTAAAAACGTTACTCTAATATTGACAGTCAGCGTATTTAATAAAAAATATTGACGCTAATAGGTCCTTTTTCTACGTGTACAACTTGAACCAATGGTGTTTCCATAATTTATTTACAAAATCATTACAATTACGAGTAATTTCGGTCTAATAAAATTTAATGAGAAAGTAATTAAATATAGTTGAAATTATTATTGAAATACTATTTAAGTGAAATTAGGAACAAATCAAAACATTCAAACAATTTATTGATGTTTGATTTGAACTAATGTAATATTTGAAATTAGTGGAGTATTTTATTGAACTAGGTGTTATTTTGCGGTATTCCATATACCCAACCAGGTCGGCCTCCTTGCGGTTCTCCCTGGAAACTATCATGGTTAATTCCTGATGAATTCATCATGATGGGTTAACTGGCCTGTTTTCATTCTCATCTACCACCCTTCACTGGTGCTCCGCCAGCGTATCCCGTTAGCGCAGGCGGGGCTACCATACCATTTTCACCCATTAAAAAAAATACAATATTGTTAAATATGCAAATCTTATCTATAAGATTTTGTACAGGATTTCCTTATACGATACTAGCTTTTGCCCGCAACTTCGCATTTACACGTAGATTTTGGAAGTTGGTAGTCACTTCGAATTGGCGTATCAATATTTTGAGTTAGACCTTCAGGAAACTGTTGAAACCGTATTCAAATTTGGTGCAGATATGTGATGTCGGCTAACAGGCAGATAGGTATATGATGTGGCTCAAGACCGATCTTCATGGCAGTCTATGGGGGAGGTTTATGTCCAGCAGTGGACGGATAATGGCTGAAAGGATGATCATGATGATGATATGATGCCGGAATAAATATACAAACAGAAAGAAAGGTAACAATAAAAAAAAATATTCGATTGCTTTTATGAAGGCCCTCCCTCCTTCGTATTAATTTTAATTATTTGTACGAATCCTATAACTATTAAGATAGTACATATAACGTAGGCGTGTATAAAGAAAGGATTTCCCGAAATACCCACGAAATAGGACGCAAATAGCTAGTAATAATATACAAGGAAATATTACGATGTTAGGAATCACTGTTCTGATATCAGTAGAACTATAAAAGAGGAATCCATGGCTGTATATACGTATGAAATGTAATACCATACAATACCACCATAACCTATTAACGGCTGTTGGGAATCACTCTTCCAATGAGGAATATTCTGTACTGTTCATGCGGCTTGGTGTAGGATTTTATTTCAAATTTTCTTATTTTGTACTGATGTGCTGAGCTTTGTTCGAGAAATAATAGCGAAGATGATCTTCAGAATAACGTGAGAGACGACTGGTTAGAGTATATTTTTTGATGGATTGAAAATGGAATAATAACCCCGCCTGCGCTAGTGAAGAAGGATAGGTGAAGATATAATCTGGTCAGCTGGTTCACGCTGGTGATGATTTCTGTAAGAATTAACCGTGATGATTTCCAGGGAGGATGTGTGGAGCTTGACCTGATACCCATATTGCTAGCAATGAATACTAATATTAATATTAACAATTCTTTCTCTTGGTTAGACTAGTTATAGTGTTACATATTGACTTTTTACTGAAATAAATGTATATTATGAAATATGAGAGAAAAGTGGTAAATAGTAACGGGGACTAGAGGTCCCATTGTTGGTAATATATCCTGCCAGATTGACCTTAATGCAGTACCTCTTCGAAATTATCGTGATTAATCTTTACTTTTTTAGTTTTTTCATCCAAATACAATATAATCTGCACTGATTTAAGGCAAATGTGAATAGGTTTTTCATGGGCCCGCGAGCGCTAACTTAAACCACATCATTGTTTTCCATCAGGTCAGATTGTAATCAATCGTAGGACTCTTCAACAGTAAAAATAAACTCAATTCGTCGAAGTCGGTGAACTTTATCTTCACCTATCATCATTAATTGTTACCACTCCGGCGTATACCAATATCTCCAGCTGTTTTACAATTAATTTTTTTTGCATAAAATAGTATATACAGAAATCAAAATGATTGGCATCCTTTTAAAAGAACGTTCTAGATTCGTATTATTTCGTAACAATCTATAATTATTTAACTTTTTTTAATTATTTCTGTATACAATACATAGTATTCGTTTGTATGAAGTCGCGTGAATATGATAGTAAATTTTTTTTTAAATTTAATTATTCAATTTAAATATTAAATTTAATTATTTTCATAAACCAATTCGACGAGAACTGAGCACGTACTGCGGTCAAAATCGAAATACATTTTCGTATTTAGACTTTTATTAATGCGGTCGGGTCGTAGGATGAATTGTTTAATCAGTCTGTTGGGCAACTAGAGGCTGGCAAAAGATCGATACAGTACAGAGTTTCATTTTATAATACATTTTTAATATACATTATTTAAATTGAGTTTAAAAACAAAAAAAAAAACCGAATTTTTTGTGACAAAATCAATTATTATGATCTAAAAATCAATCTGAACCGAAAACATAAAAAAAAAATACAAGCGAATCGAGAACCTCTTTCTTTTTGAAGTCGATTAAAAACTGTATTTACTTTATATTAAATATATAAAGTAAATAGAATTTTAATAATTTATACAATTTTATTTAATATTTTTTCTTAATGTTATACTTTCAACATATATTTTTAATATATAATAGAATAATATACCAACTTAATAAAAATAACTGTTACATCCATTTCTAAACGATTATTATATAAAAGAAAAGATAAAAAACAAGACTTCAGAAAGGTCTTCAACTCAGCAAAACTTCGTAATCTGTCTACTAATATGATTTAGATAAAGCCACTGGCAATATATAATAGTATTAAGTTATTCTAACTATTGTATTTATTTTTAAATTAGTTATTCTTTATTAGACAGGTTTATTAGACAGGGAAGTAGGATAATTATTCATGTATTGAATGCTGAAAGCGAAAGCAGACAAACTTTTGATAAGCCTAGCATTGTAGGGTTGACACCGATCATATTGGTACAAAAGTGTTCATACAATTACAGCGAAAGTCAAACCCGATGTGAGTTCAATAACTCGCGCTCGAAGTATCCACAAAGGTTTCACAATAAATGCCGGAGACGCGTTCATACAAAGTCAAGGAGTTCCAGTTACGTTATTTATAGTATATTTTCTTCTTTGAAGTTCGTTTTATATTATGTCTATGTATCAGGTACATGTAGGTAGGTACAGTCGGCATCAAAAATCTATGAACGTTATTACATTTCCAAAACTCGTAATCAATATTGCGTAAATAAGCAGACTAGCATTAGATGGATAATTACTATTAAGCTTCAAATAATATGTGCCAGATAAGGCCTCAAATGAAGATGAATTTACAATGACGTAATAATATCTGTGCTATTAGGGGTTTTAAAAATTAAAATGGTATCCATTTTTGATTCTAGTCCTACAATGTACCTACACGTTTTGTGCTTCATCATAGAAATAATAATTCTCAACGAACTTCAAAAAGAATCTCAATTCCACTGTATTTTTTTTATTGCTTTTTTTTCTTTTTTTAAAGTCGGTATCCATAACTGAATTAAAGTATATTTAAATAAAAAAAGAATAGAATTAATAACCTCCTTTATTTAAGTCAATTAGGAGTATATGTATTTTTTTCTTGTACCCTCGTAGATACACTTCGATCTCATCTCATATATTTCACAGTTCGTTAGTTCGATGTATTACATCAAATTGGAATTCCCATAGAGATTTATACATGACGAAGCAGTAAAACAGCAATAACCGATGATTATCGTAGGTTTCGGAAATAAGCATCGATATAATATATAATCGATACCCGATTTATCGATATTATTACTATGATGAAATATACATACATATCTGTCACGCCTGTCTCCCATTAGGGTAGGCAGAAACAATGAAATGGCAATAACGTATTTAGTATTTGACTCATTCTTCAAAAAGGGTATACTGAAGTTTCTTCAGGCGTTTTGATACCTCTAATGTTGCAGGCGTCCCTAGGCTACAGTGACCGTTTACCAGCAGACGGGCTCGTTTGCCCTTAATCTTTTATTTATTATATTAGCTTACTTAAAAAACTCATGGTAATGCTGGATCACATTTACTACGTATAATGTGATAATATCTCGCCTTTCTTCTTATACATAAAATGTCAAACGTCTCGTTAATCTATTTTAGTTATTACAGTCTTTTGTCTTTTTTATTCGCACTAAATTCTGAATTTGAAAGAAAGTAACAAAACACTAATAATTACAATTAGTATGTTATTATTACTAAGTAAATGGTTGAGAGAGAGTTAAAGTGTAGTGAATATTTTATCACTGTATTTAATTGTTTATTATTCTTTATTTTTTTGTGTATTTTATATTTATATGCACGAATTAAATTAGTATATACTCACATTTATTTAAATTGTAGAAGTGTAATTAGAAATCATTAGAATCATTTAAAAAAAATGTGTCATGGTAAAATCGAATCTTTTTCCAAGAAGACGTCACGATAAAAAATGGTGCGTAGACAAAAATGGCATTTTCAACAAGAATTCCCTTCACAATTTGTAGGGACAGGCTTTAGGTGGGGTAGTCTTTAGGTTGTCGACTTTTTTTATTTGCAAACGCTTTTCGTTTAACTTCGAATTCAGACACTTTTTGTAACTTAAAAACTCTATATGCTGTACGTAAAACAAAAATATAATAAATGCGAATTGAGAAAGTTCTTAATTTTAAAGTAACTTAAAATAGTATAGTTTAAAAATAAGTATAAATACTCGTACTTTATTGTCTAAAATGTGACCCGAGGGTAATTATTTGTACGTGTTCTAAGCTAGATTTCTATAGTTAAACCTGAAGAGATTTAAGTTGTAAAACGTGTACGAAACTTTTAAACTGAAGTCGTTTTTTCTTTTACGTTAGCAATTAACAGAGAAAGTCATAATTGGATAGAACTAAATAGTTTTGCCCGACAGTCTAAAGTTTGTGGGGAACATGGAATTTTCTGAACTTATTCCATTACGTGGCTTTAAAACAGTTAAAGTTAGCGAGTTATGTACCATCCTCGTTCCTGTTAATGTTAAGGCCCTAAACATATGTAATATTGCGGCTTTTATTCAGTTAAAAGGATATTATACAGGCAATAAATTGTTTAGATTACTTTGAATATAAAGTACTGAGTGTTTGTGCCCGTGGCCGCTCACGTACTATTTTATAGGTGGCTGTAATTAAGTCAGGTCTAATTTATTTAACCCTTACCTGGCTATACAATATTTTATTATTATACACTTAATTGAAGGTGACCTTGTTTAAATTGAAATTGTTGTAAAAGTGGAATGAAACAGTATCCAACACAAAGTCATTTATGGGAATGAAAGTTCTGTGCAAAATTTAATGTTTTAGACCCAACCGTTCGGCAGTACGTTGAGGAGTCAGGTTTCTCTTTTAAGTAGACATATAAATAAAAATAAGCTACCGATATGTATTTGTTTTTACGCTTAATTACATTTACTTTTACTAAAAGAAAACGAGTAAGTACTATTTTTACAATGACAGTTTTACGAGGAACGTTTAATACTTTGCTTACCTAATGAAATAAAAAATGAAAAACAAATTAAAACCGATAAGCATAACAAAATTATTAACTCAGATTGAGAGTGTATTATTATTAAGGAACCCATTAAAATCATTATTAGGAGTTATCGGCATCTGAGTACATCTAAATATATTTTTTCCTGTCCATTTTGTTTATTGTATATATTTTCAATTACTAATTTTTATAGACGAAGTATTAGTATCTATAATGGTATTCTCCTTCTACGGTATACATTAAGGAAAGTTTCTGTAGCCTTTTTTTAATTTATGATAATTTCTATACAAATTATGCCAAAATTATTTTCAAAAAGCCAGGTATAATAAAATATTTATCAATAAAAAATACCAACACAAAACATCTACAATTTAAGCAAAACGAAAACAAATATTACATACAGAAGCGCAACTTACTCGGAGAGTATCATCTCTTCGCCGCTCTTCAGCCAGTAATTGATAGCTTGAGGGTACGCCTCGACAAGACACTCCAGTTTTGCTGTGGAACTTGTTGGTACTCCTATTACCTTCGTCGCAACTAATGTCGATGGTGCAACTGTGAACAAAGTTACAAAGTTCAAGTCAAATGTAGTTGAGTTGACATTATACTCACATATTGCATTGTTCAAGTGCTTATAGTAATTCGTGTATTTGACTGTTCCAACTAAGTTGTTTGAATACGAATGTACTCGAATGTAATAAAGTTCTAACTTAAATGTTATATATTAAGTTCATTGTTATTTTAATTATTGAAGTGTTTTATTATTTATTTTTGCAGCAATTTCTTTATTTAAAAGAACGTAATAGCTTACTAAAAAGTGTGAGTCACGTCACGTCAGTAAGTCATCACAATTGATGAAGATATATAGATATATGAATACTCTTTCATATTTGTACGTGAAGATATTGTACAACATACAAAAAAACAAATACAGTTAAACTTAAAAATCTTTTTCTTTTTTAGATAAATCTGGACGTCAATTATTATATTGAAAAACATGTTATATATCAAACCACGTGTCAATTATGGCGAGAACATGTGAGCTTTATTTCTTAATAATACTCGACAGATTAGACAGTACAATCTCAAACTAAACGCAAAATGTAGGATACAATGGGCTCAAAACAACAAATATAAATACATAAATCCTCTTTTTATAGATACATAACATACTTATACATACACAGATAAAATTTAAGATCGTTTTTTAAAAAAAACCGACTTCAAATATAGCAAAACCAGTTATGTTAATTTCAAAACGAAACTATTGAAGGGATTTTGCTAAAATATCTATGGAACCAATCTGTAAGTATATCCTTTCAAAAAAAGAAAATTCCAAATCGGTTTATAACTGACAAGGTTATGAGGTAACAAACACAAAAAATACAACCGAATTCAGAGCCTCCTTCTTTTTAAAGTCGGTTATAAACTCCGAAACTGGTACGAAAAGACATACACATGAATCGAATATTATTATTATATCCGCGACCATCGGAAGGTGAAGCGATATGTTAAACCGTTACAGTACGAAGCTTTCGTAACTCGACTTACAATTAACACTCAGCATGATCCTCTTGCTGACTGATGGTGGCACATCATTGGAGGCGATACACAGGTATGCGCCCATCTGTCGCCGCTCCACCCGTGTCAAGTTCAGATTTGGGCCCATAAACATGTCCACTGTGTAGAAAAAACATTAAAACAATATTTTAATCATATTAATATAATTATTTATTTATTATGTTTTAAGGAAGCTTACAGCTGTAATAACTTAATAATAATCAATTACACATGACCACAATAAGCTAATTAGAAGCTACTGGGAGGAAAGGGATTGTTAGTAATGGAGTTTGACAGCCCCATTGCTAGCAATATGCCTTATTAGGTCGACCTCCACGTAGTTCCCCCTGGAAACCATCGTGAACAATTCTTGTTGAATTCGTCACGATGGGATAACTGAACTACTTCATCCTCACCTATCATCCTTCACTGGTGCCCCGCCGGTGTATACCGATAGCGCGGGTGGGACTACCATTCCATTATCATCCATCAAAAAAAAAAAATAGAAGCTACTACATATAATTAACAAAAATTGGATCACAGTCTAGATAATTAATAAATTTGAGAGACGTATTAATAGAAATTGAAACATAATATAAATATTTTAAGATTGTGTTTCCCACAAAAGAAACCAACTTCAATTGTGGTAGAACCAGTTATTTTGATTTCAAAACTAAATTATTGAACTGATTTTGATAAAATTTCTATGGGACCAATTTGTGAGTACATTAAAAGATAAAAATAATTTTACAAATTGGTTTATAGCTGTCAGAGTTATGAGGTAACAAACAAAAAAAATACAAACGAATTGAGAAGCTCCTTTATATTGCAGTAGCTCGAAAATATTTATACCTAATTGATTAACATGAAAACTAATTTGTTCATTTTAAGCACTGTTATTCTGATTGAGTGATATACCAAGATTGTTATATATACATAATATATACTAGGATATATGTAACATCGCTTACAGGTTACGGCTTATCGATAGAACAGTTTATTTTATCACAACCTCTGTAGGTATTACGACAATACACAAAGATTAGAATCATGATCGTCAATATATTAAAGCAACCGTAATTTCGATCAGATTCTATGAAGGGTCGTAAATTGTCCAATGAACCACTGATGAGAAAAGATGGTACGCCGATATGATTTATTACTTTATTCAACCTCGATAATTTCAAAGCTCAGTATATTTTGTTTGATCATAAAATTTATGATGCCATTTGTCACATTGCATATATATCTATAATATATGTAAATATAAACGTAGATAATCCTTCCCTACGAAAATACGTGTTCATAGAGCAGCTTACGAATTATAAAATTAATAAAAACAATTCTGTATTCAAGTATAGTTAATTAAAAGCATTTTCGAATGCTTATATTTTTATGAATTCACCTCCGAGTACACGAACTTATAGAGCCAAAAGATGAGTTCGAAATTTGTCGACCTCCAAAACATAGTGAACCGAATTATACCGAAAAAGGCAAATATTGAGATCATTATTACATTATCATTAATAGAGGAGCTTGTGTTACTTGCCATTTGATGGATGATAATTCATTTATTCCAATAATTACCTTTATGTAACTCCCCGTGTTCATTTCTCAGTTGTATGTTCGTGCCGTCTTCTCTCCGCCATAATATGCGGGGGAGCGGCCGACCATCGGCTCGGCAGGACAAGCTAACGTCCTCACCCTCTCGGGCAATTACGTCGCCACTCGTGCCGGCATCCACGATGTTTGGAGGCACTAAGAGATAAAAAAGTGTTTTAAAATTAGAATCAGAATTCTTTTACAAAATAAATAAAATATATGTTATTTTATCTAGTCTGTAAAAGACGCTTATTACGTTAGCAGTAAGTACACTATATTTAATAACAAAAGATTATAAGTACACTATAGATTAAAAATAGTATATGTACCATAAGTACTGTGGAGTTGTCTTAATTGGTTAGCATAATGACGTACTGTGTAAAATACAGAATGAAGTTTACAACTTTGAACGAAATTTTTTTTTAGACATTTCAATAAAATCAGAAAATAACAAGGTAAATCAAGCTAAATTTCTTGATTAATCATTCAACGCACAGAATAAGTTGGTGGTTCTAGAAACATTAAAAGTCGCTATATCTAATCTAAACTTTCACATATACCCGCGAAAACAAGAAATAACAGTTTCCGTATAAGCGCCGCCATGGAATTTCTTTGTGGTACACATCTCTATTGCTAAAATGAACCGCGCACGTAGCATTAACAATCTACTCCAGATTAAATTTAAAAATATTTCAAGTATCTAAAAATACAATTTTTTTACAAATTTTTTTACTAGCTAAATATTTTATTTGAGTAAAATTTATAATTCACATGAATTAAGTTTAAGTGTCAGCAGAAAAATAGAAGGAAAAATATTAAAAAAATTAGGAAATCAAGTGTTATTCAATAAAATAGCTGCTAGGTAGGTAATTTATATACAAGAAGATTGTTATTCGCAGCCAAGAGAATAAATTTTTATAAGAAGATATATAGGTATACCATTATTCTGATTTTTCTCTGTTCACTGGTAAGCTTGTTTGAACATAAATTTGACGATACGAATCTTTGATAAATATTTATGCTGATATTTTAATTTATTATACATGCTTAAGTGGAAATAACGTGTAGGTACAATAAAGGTAATACGAATGAATAATACGGATAATGACCTATCGAAATTTTATGAGTTATATTGTATAATTTTTTTCCTTATTTTTTTTTACATAAGTGACCACCGCCGCTCATGATCATCCACGACACCAACGGCATTGCAGGTGTGCTGTCGGCCTTTTGAAAAGGAATATGTTCTTTTCTTGAAGGTTACGATGTCATATCGGTTCGAAAATATTGCTGCTGAAAGTTGATTCCAAAGAGTGGTTGTGTATGGAAGACAGCGTATTAAAACGCACGGTGGAAGACCGCCACTCGTCCAGATGGTTGGGATTCTTATGTATTATTAGGAGGTTACTTCTTATACTGATTTAATTTGAAAAAAAAGAAAATAACCAATGGAACACAAAGTCCTATGCATACTCTGTGTATAGCAAGATCTATGTAATAAAGACTATTATTACGCTGTGTAGTTCCAGCATTGAATAGTCTACCTCTTCCTTTCCCGTACGTGTCGTAAGAGTCGACTAAGGGCGTGCGAGGGATGGGCAGCAGCGTCCCTCTTAAAACATCTCTAAAAGCCTAACTTCGGTTGCCAACCCGCCTGTCAAGCGTGGCAACTATAGGCAAAACTCCCCTTATAAGGAAGGCTTATGTTCAGCAGTGGACAGTTAACGGCTGAAATAAAAATAATAATAAAAAATAATGCATAAGCTTAAAAAATATTTAACTAATTTTAAAAATTCTTTCACCTACAAAAAGCTACATTATAAGCGAGTAACATGAGCTTTATTTTATTTTCAGTACGAAGCAGGAGCGGGTCGTTAGTACGTATGTTTATATAAATAAAATGCTTTTCGTTGGTAAATATATCATATCACACGAAAATATTTGGATGGATTTGGTTATTTTTTCAATTCGTAATAATCAGACAAGGTTTTCATGGAAGGAAAAATTGGAAAAGTTGCCCACGAAGTTGGAGAAACTCGATCACAACTGACGATTGGAACGAAATATTTCTTTCTTCATTATATATTTGTTTTTTTTTATGTTCCATTTTTCTTATTGAAAAATGAAACATAAAAAAACAAATGCTTTTTGAAAAAGGTAAGCAAAGGGAATAAAGCCCATGCAGCCAAGTTTGACGTGTAATTTCCTTTCTGTAGCTACGTATTAAATTCTCTTACCTGTGTTCTTAATGAATATATATACAGAAGATAATTTTTAACATTTCTTAATAATTTTGTAGTTTAAGTATATAAATTAAATAATGAGTTCAAAGTGCAAGTAAAAGATCGCATACTCTCCTTTAATACAAAGTATTTCGAAGACAATAGTTGATGTCAATGCTACAAAATAACATAGTAAAAGGAATGAAACTGCATCTTAGAAAACGAAGATCAGATGGGACGTCTGTCTTGTTTTCTTGTCAGCTATCATATAGTAAAGATATTATAAGAAAAGAAAAAAAATTGCTACGTTACAAGCGCGCGAAAAATGAAATCTAAAGATGATATTTTATTAAATTTGCATATACTTTCGCGCAAATAATAAAACTTTATCACCTTATTTCATTTTATGTTGTTTTAATCATTCATAAGTACAGTTATGCTTTTTTAAGTTGTTCATTGAGCGTAAAACAAATATTATATTAGTTTTATTTAAGTTATCAAAAAAGATGATCAAGTTCTTATATAGGAAAAAAAAATTAATTTGTAGACAGATTAGATCTTATTCCTTTATCCTTCTCCATAATGCCTCGATTCTTTATTCTTATTTAGCTGTAAGTAGAAAATGGAATATAAAATTGGAAGATAAATTTAAATCGTTTACCGCAAATTGGCTATAACGGCCTATCTTTAAGCAGAATACAAAGATTACACAAATGGTTATGTCCAAATAGTTTCTGAGCCAGCTTCAAACGATATAAATTTAAGTCCTAATAAATTTTAAGACAGACCCATGTAAAGGAGTATGTTACAAATAAACTTTATACAAATGAAAATTCTTTGTTTCGAATGAAATCTATTTGATAAGTAAATTTCTATATTGCCATATACATAGATATATATATGTATTAAATTTTTTTGGAACTATATAAACAAACGGGTTAAGTAGATTTCCGCGAAGCCAGCTTATTGGAATTTCCTTCCAATTTATAATATTAATAAACGTAACTACAGGTACGGAGGCATAAGATGTCTCCAGGAATGATAAGGCATCAGAGACATCACGGGTTTACATTAATGCAATGTCTATAGGCAACGATTATCTCTTTCTATAAAAAAGATTATCAGTTACTGGTTATTATAAGTATTATTAAACAAAATGAATGAAATAAAAACTATGCACCTACTCCTGCACGCCTATTTCTCGAATGCAGTTACATAATTTCAAATCGATATTCTGAAAAAAAAAGTAGAGCAACGACCACTTTTTTTTTATATAACTTAGAATGGCAAACAAGCTGACGGTTCACCTGATGGAAAGTGGTAACCGTCTCCTATGACATGAGCAGTACAATGGACATAACAAAGTATACTGTTTCGCCCATGATACCCCTATGCGTTGCTATTTCTGAGGACTCAGGTGTTATTTCTCTGCACTCTGTAAATTCACTGCCATATCCCACCCTTTAAACTGAAGCCATGCAAACACAACTGCTTCACGGTTGAAACATGAATAGGACAGAGGTGCCCAAGAAAACCAACTTTGTACAAAGTCTTCCTCTGGTATTTTGCATCATTCTTTTAGTACATTCAATCATTTAATCTTGATGAGTTTGGTAATCCAGAAACGGGTTACGGGTTCTATTCCTGCACAACACAAATATTTGTATTTATCTATATGTCTGTACTGGTCTGGATGTTTTCTATGTATAACGTGTATGTATTTAAAAAAGGTATTTAAATGTGCTTATCACTTATTTAGTACTCATAGCACTAAGCAAATAATAAACTCATAGTCTATAATTTGTTTAGTACAAGAGGTCTAGATGACGTTATATATCAAGGGGCGTTAAACGAGTTTGCGTTTCACTTGATGATAAGTTTCCTAATAATATATAAAGAAACGAGTGATACCAATTTCCACGAAGGTGAAATGTTGAAAATTCTATAAAAATTAATCTTCTCATAACAGAATAAAGAGAATACACAAATAAAACGCCAATAGAATAAAAAAAAACACGTATTCTTAGGTTTTCGCGCCTATTTCAGGTATATAATTGCATAACCTCTAACAGATATTTTAAATTTTTACTTTCTGTTAAATTTTTCTTATTTTTTTCCTCGCTTCTTCTTTTTAAGTGGGGTTGGCTTTCAAAATTATGCAGGAACATTTCTTTCGCTATGTATTAGTATATTTATGTATCATTACCGGTTTTTTTAACGGGTGATAATGGAATGGTAACCCCGTCTGCGTTATCGGTATATATGTTATATACAGGTAGGGCACCAGTTAGGGATGATTAGTGAAAATAAAAGACCAGGTCAGTTAGCTCACCGTGATAAATATATCTGGAATTCAGCACGATAGTTTCCAGGAGTAACCACGTGGAGGTCGACCTGACGGGGTATATTGCTAGCAATGAAACTGGTAGTCCGCATTACTAATAATCCTTTCCCCTCCCATCATTATCGGTTAGGAAAAGTTCTTTCATGTCCCTCTAGACATTTGATATTCAGGTAGTCTGCGACCTATTTCAACTTTTTTTTGACAGTCACTGGAAGTCATAAAATTATAACATAGCAATCGGGTAGCTTCACTACATGTCTGAACCACCTTAGCTTGGACTCTACAATTTTATCTGTTATATGCTGTCAGTTATATTCAATCATCTAAAATGGCGAATAATTTTACAACTATTTTGTAAGATTATTATATAAATTGTGTTTCATCGAAATAAAGGCGGCGTGTGGCACGTCCTGTAGGGAGCCATGAATGCGAGCACGCGCCTATTAAGCTACGTGCTCATTCCAGATAAGCTCCTAACCCCTACGGAGACTCTAAGCTTTGCTCCTCTTATGCTCCCCTAGTAGCGGTCCGATAGAATTTCTGATTTTCAAGAATTTCTTGCTATAAGATTTCCTTATAATTTAATGTAACAAAAATTTATAGAAGATTTATTGAAGTTTATATTGCATTGTAACCCACGAGACTGCTATTAGTAGATCACGTATAAAATAGAACGAAAAAAATTACGAGTATTATTATTGTTAATAATGAAATTGATGAATATTCGAAAATTTCAATTACATTTGAAATTTTTTAACTGTTGGGCGTTATTATAACTACGTGACAATGAGATTTTTGAAACTGTGAACTAGTGCATGTTAGCTTTAAGTTTTTTTTTTTAATAAAATAAATCTTTTTTTAATATTATTTTTATTTCTTTTACGTAAAAAACTTATGTAATTCTTGGTTATTTAATTTAAAATGTATATGAATAAAATAGATAATTTTAGACAATATAATATTTATTTGGTATTTCTTTTATTCAGTGTTTAATATCAGTAGCAGTTACCTAATAACTATATATTAGATATAGATTTTCAGAAAAATGCAATTAGTAAAAAAAAATATTTTTTAATGTCGTCACAAGTACCTTGTTACTGAAAACTTTACTTGGACATAGAGGGCCCTTTAGAACAACTTTAATAGTTACGAAGATCCATGGAACAATAAGTACATTTTGCTACTACCACAGTCTCAATTGTAGTTTATTATTATAAAATTATTATTTTAACATAAAATTTGTAGCTAAATCATATTGTCTGAAAGTTTGTGCTAAAATGATTATCAGACAAGAATTTGATTACATAGATGAGAGAGTTTTCTTTGGATGACCTCGAAGTTGACGAATGTGTTCATCACTTTAAAAAAATATTTAGCTTAGTTTCCAATGTAATTAAATTTTATATAGATCCGTTCAAGCGTTTAAGCATGATTGAGTAACACGCTTATGTATGATTTTTTACAGACTTTTATGCTATCTACTATGTTACTAACTTGTTTTTTGCATGTTTATCATCAATGAATATTTTACTATACTGTTATCTTGCGGAAATCCATATTACTGGTTATTTGATAAGAATGATTTTGTTTAATTCCGTTACTTTATTACACTATTACTACCAGAAGTTTCACATTGTGAACTTCTGGAAGTAATAGAGGTAGTCAATCTTCGAGTGTCGGCAGTCCCACGCATACTAATGGTAGCAGAATTGAACAAAATAATTGTAATGAAATAAACATTAGTGAATAAATTTAAAATTTTAGCATAATTAAACATTGCATTGTACATCTGTTTTCCTCATAAATTTTATGTAATAGTTAATAGATGGCTATCACCATTATTTGCGGTAATTTTTAGGAACACTGCCAAGAATAGAACTGGGAGTGTTTCAGTTAGGTAATTATGGAGCCAAATAAGCTGAAATCTCTTATGAATCTGCAATATTAATGTGTAACAGTAAATTGTGGTAACATTCTGCTATCCAACGGTTTTGTATTTACTATTGTTTCAAATTAAGATGAGATTCGTTTGGAAAATTAAATATCTCCAGAATATTTTACTAATTACCTAAAAAAGAGTTCGGAACTTCTGTAGATACTTATAGTTGTTTCAATTCTAATGTAATTGGTATAAATCATATTTTATTTAGATTTTATTTTAATTTTGTCTTTAATTTTTACGTTAAATAAGAGGGGTTTTTATGTGAATATTTAATAACCTTCGAGTAATCCTTTCAAAAATTATTTTTACATTTAAAATGGATTTAAGTACCGTATAGTTATATTACTTTACTTTAACTGGATTAATTTATCGTTCATTTTGATAAAATCTATAATGAATATTAATCAAAATATTAATTGTATTTCATTTTAGAATAATTTTAAAGATTTGATTTTAACAATATAAATAGGATATATACATGAAATGTCGTATAGAAAGGTTAGAGATATAGTCTGGAATAGGGTTCGTTGGAAGAGAATAAATGTATTAGTTGCCCCGATAAGAGTCCTTAAATTAAAGGAAAAAGACAAATAGGACTAAATTTGAAAGGTTTGATGATGGAATATGTGGAAAGTAGTTTGGTAGTTATATATTAAAGTTTCTTTTTGCACTTATGACGTGAAGACCAGGAAAACTTGATGCTTTATTAAACTACACAAAGAACGTTATTACTTACCTAAAACATCGACACAGCCAATCTTTTTCTTCATTGTACTAGTATTTATTTGGCACATGTAGCATCCTCTGTCTTCCACCTTTAAAGGTCGAATGTGAAGTTGCCAAGAGTTTGGAGAGTCGTTGGTGACAGCGTAGCGTGAACTGTGGGTGACTAGACGTGTGTGCAAGGTGAGGATTGTCTGATCATCTGCACGAATCCACGCCACCTGGAAATGAAATGTTTTTGGTAATATTTTCTTATGACTTTAAAAGCTTTTTGGTAGTACATGATCGTTGTATAACTTTGGTGTATAGCGATATCTCATCTTCCAATAGTTGTCCGTTTGATATCCTTTTAATACAATATTTGCTATATTTATGTAGTCTAATACAAACTAAACCTTCTTAGTTTGGGGTTAGATGACACTGTGTGTCAATCATGTATAGTAGCAATTGTTTATTTTTTATAATCCTATACGCTATTTTAAAATTATAAAAATATTTGACGCAATAAATAAATTCACAGAATGTATTAGTATTTCAAACCTTATAGTCGATAAAATAAATGTATATGTATCTGGAATTTTTATCTAAATATAATTAATTACGAAAAACATAATTTGGGTAATGAAGCTTGTAGTATATAGCCGTATTATCTTGATAATAAGTAGAGCCAAATTATTAGTATCCTGTATTGTATTAAAGTTATTATACTCGTATTAAAAAAAAAAGTTGTAACAAATATTTCCGAGTCTTTTCTCATTATTCTCCCAATGAAATTCTAATTGAGATAATATCGTATAAGAACATGAAAATAATAACGAAATCAATTTTTAGAATATATATATTTTTAGAATTCAAATTTACGTATTTTATAAATAGCTAATATAAAACGAGTTATAGCCAAATTCAATTCCATTCAAAGTGGTCTAAGGTAAAAAAGACGTAATGCCAAAGTGAATTTTTCCATTAGGCTGGTCAGAAATCAAGAGAAATCGCATTACGTTAAATTGGAATGTATAAAGACTGGGAAACATTCCAAAAAGAGAGTTAAATCATTTATTCAATACCAATGTTTTGTTCTTCTCATAAGAATAAAATGATTCTTATAACATGGTTTAAGGACGGGGAGGGATACGGCAGTTTAAAAGTTAAAAAAATTTTTTTAAATTTCTATTGGAATATTTATTATTTATTTTGTTCATAACTTTACTCAACTATTCTGTCCATCGTGTTCCCACTATACTTACTGTTGTTTCTAGCTCTCTAAAATCGGATATTGTTAAATTAATTCGTTAAAAACCTAACTAAAAGTGACCTAAACTAAAGCGACCGCGACAAAATTCAATGTAATAATCTTGAATTCTAATATACTTGAAGAAATAGGCATGTAAAGTATCAGTACGTATAGTAGACTGGTAACATTTGACCTACGCCTCTGACTATCCAATCAGAAATTACAGTCGTGTGGATATTGATATATTAATTAAATAAGTATAAATGTTTAATTGTGTTTCTCTAAAAACTCAATTATCTTTTTTTTTCAGTATATAATGCTTTGAGTAATATTGTCACATTCGTACTTATTTTCGTAGCTTTATTTGCATTTATTACGGTTTCTTAGAAAAAAGGATTCAGAACATATACTATGGCTATAGTCTCAAGAAAGTTTAGCATTTGTAGTTAATATTTTTAAATCTTTATTAATATTATAAACGTGAGTGAGTTTGTATGATATTTCCTAATAACATAACGGTACATTATACAACTTAATTATAAAGTATTATCATAGTTACTTGTACAACAATTGGTCCATTACTAAGGTTGTCTTGAAAAGATTGCTTTCAGAAATAAGACCGCCTTACTATACTTATACAACTGTATTGTTATATTTATTAATAGTCTTGCTTATTCTCTATATTGTATAATGCAAATAAAGTATTCTTATTCATTTATTCAACATAGGCTACTTTTTATCTCCGTTAATTAACGATGAAATCTGTTAAAACTAATAAATAATTATGTTTATACAAGCATTATATATACTTGTAAGTATGTATATATTAACCTAAAAACTAGGGGGGAAAAGAGATTGTTAGTAATGGAGACTGAGAATCCCATTGCTAGCAATATATCCAACCAGGTCGACCTCCTCGCGGTTCCCCCTGGAAACTATCATGATTAATTCTTGATGAATTCATCATGATGGGATAATTGGCCTGTTTTCATCCTCATCGATCACCCCTTCACTGGTGCCCCGCCAGCATATCCCATTAGCGCAGGCGGGGTTACCACTCCATTTACATCCAATAAAAAAAAACCTAAAAACTAATAGAAGTACGTACTATCTCAAGTTACTTATCGTATCACGGTTAGTAAACGGTGAACTTTCAACATTTGTGTACCTAATAAATTGGTTAAATAATTGTAAAAAGTAAGCCGCTAACCAACAAATTCATTGCCCTGAGATATTATATTTGTAGTTTAATATAGAATAATTTTATTACATAGCACTAGACTCCGTCTGATGATATTCTAAATAGGTAATTAAAGTGTGCCAAATTTTGATTACATTTTCATGCTTTGCATTTCGCGCTAATAATATCTAATTTGTTGAATGAAAACTTATGCTAGTGGGTTAAATGAAGTTGTATTATTTATTAAAGCTTAGATATAAACAACGTGAAAACAGTAATAATAAATAATATAATTAAATATCATTGAAACTGTGAGTTTGAATCTAGCCGATACTAAAAACTATATGATGTCAATATAAATTTTTGTGTATACATAGTACCATTCATAAATTGAACTTGTTATGTATGGGTACTAGATAACTAATAGATATACTTAAATTATTTATTTTATTAATAAATATATTTATTATACAAAGAAAATACTCAAACATATAAAAAAAAACGCATGAATTTAAGTTTTTTTTTTTATACAACTGGCATGGCAAATGGCAAACAAGCTGACGGCCCACCTGATGGAAAGTGGTAACCGTCGCCTATAGACATGAGCAGTACCATGGACATAACAGAGTATACTGTTTCGCCCATGATACCCCCCATGCGTTGCCATTCCTGAGGACTCAGGTGTTATTCCTCTCTGTACCCAATAAATTCACGCCATATCCCACCCTTCAAACCGAAACACAGCCATGCAAACACTACTGCTTCACGGTTGAAACATGAATGGGACAGAGGTACCCAAGCAATTGACTTTTGTACAAAGTCTCCCTCTGGTGATTTAATTGTTTGTATTGTGCGTTAATGGAACCCACAATAACTGGTTTTTTAGGCAGTGTGCTAATACTTTGCACCACGAAGGTCTCCATATCGATTTCCACAGGTTCACTAATTGACAAATAAAGGTTTCTTTATTGAGTTGTTTGAATAATAAATTGCGTAAAGGATATAATATTACCAGAGTGAACGTTATATCAGTAATGATGGAAACGCGTCGAAAAAATCACAAGAATCGACGAAATTACGCGAATTTTAGGATTGAATATCCTCCCGGGCACTTTCGCAAATCGCAATACGGAATTGCAAAAATACAATACACGTTTAGGGGAACATAATAAGGGCAGATAGATACGCGTAAGAAATACGTTTTGCGCGAAATGAATAAAGGATTTGGAGATAACAAAGAAACCTACATACTCTTAAATGTTTTATCCGTTTCTTTAAATATGATTCGAGTTTTTTTCCTATAGAGCGCAATTTTGAACGACAGCTGCAAAAATGTACTTTTATATTTGTATTTAAATTAATTTCATATTTTTTTTTGTTCTTTTATTGTTTACTTTTGCGTTTTTATAAAATTACGTTTTTGACTTTATTAGAGTATATAAGACTTTTACTCGAACCTTATATAATTACTAATATTATAAAATAAAGAAATGTGTTTGATAATTTATAACCGACTTCAAAAAAAGAAAGTTTTTTAATTTCGTTGTCTTTATTATGTTGTTATTACCTTCTTCTTCTTTATTAAAATTCTTCTTTTTATCTGAATGGATATATTTACGGATTAGTTCCATAGAAATTTTATAAAAATCGGTTCAGTAGTTCAGTTTTTAAATAAAAATAATTTATTTTACTATAATTTAAGTTGAGTACAGGTACAGGTTGTTTATTAAATATTACATGTCCATGGTACTGCTCTTGTCTATAGGCGATGGTTACCACTTTCCATCAGGTGGACCGCCAGCTTGTTTTGTCATTATAAGTTGTATAAAAAAATCTATATTATTTAAGAAATTTTTATATGTAAAATAATTTCAAGTCGTAGTTTTTTTTTTATACAACTTAGAAAGGCAAACAAGCTGACGGCCCACCTGGTGGAAAGTGGTAACCGTCGCGTATAGACATGAGCAGTACCATGGACATAACAGTAGTTTCTTAAGGCAGACGAATATCAAACTTTTCAAAATAAAATCACTTATTTCTTATTTAGTAATATTATAACTATATTAATTGATAGATATACTATATTTGTTTGTGAATTCTACTTTCTCAGAAAGCTGCGATAAACAACTTGTAATTCTAACGAAATTTCTTTAAGCAACAGATTCGAGTCACCTTGATTATGTTATTGTAAAAGCTTTTTTTTTTCTTATTTATATAACTTTATCAATTAGCTATTAGCTATACCTGCAACTTTGTTTATATATGTATATATATAACAAATTTAATCACTATTTATTCTTTACAATATTTTACACTTTATTAGCAAATATTTCCATTTAATATTCTATCTGACAATAGATTGCTTTAGAAATATCAATTTAAAAGTAACTGTTTCTCCAAAATAGTTTTTATTATATTCTATAGTTTATATGCCAACTCAGTTTATATCAATATATAGTGAAAATTTCATCACAATCAGTCTGGCCGTTACAAATAAGCATACAAGTGGAAAAATTAAAAAAAAAATCACTTTATATTTTATTTGGTATCACAACCATTAACTATATATCTAAAAATATTTAATGAATAGCTTTGGCTTCTTTACGATTTTATTACATATAAAGAAGTAGGTACTTTTGCTCCTAAAATGCAAGCTATGGGAAACGTTGTGAACGAGAAACGCTGAGTACAGTGTTACAACGTAGATATGAGTATAAAGTTGAAACGGTCTTATCGACGGATTTTTGCGTGCCATATAAATTTCAACTTTCTAGGGAATACCAGATCAAGGTTTTATGCAAAGTATCACA